AATGTTCTGAATAGAGGAATACTCAGGAGCCACCCCTCACAACAAAATAGCTTATTTCTGAGCATGCACAGAATTTCTGTCCAATTAATAGTTACTCCACTACCAAAGCCTGAAAGAGTGTTCAAAGCAGAACATCCCCCTTAATGAAAACCCAGCTCTTCAACTGTTCCAATAGCATTTCCCTTTCCTTCCCATTAACTGCCTTGAGCAGACAATGTTTCACTGCAAGACTTTTTGCAAGATATGATACAAAAAAACACGTGGTTTTGAGAAAGTTTCAACAGGAATTCACAGCCCATTTCACTGTGAGGTTAATTTCAATGTCTCTTGCATTATTTAATCATTCTGTAGTAAACGTGTCCAAGAATACAAAAATGGCTGTTAGAAAAATGTTGAAATCCTCACATTTCTGTTTTTTTGTGTGTTTTTTTGTATAAAATATATTTTTGCAAACCCTGGTGCTCCAACATTCTGTGGGGCTTGAAGGGAGTAAGCAGGGTCTTGGGTGACAGATAGAAAGCACTGGAGATGACTCCTCCTAACAGTGAGAGTGGGAGTCTCTGGACCCTAGTGAGAGGGGAAACCAGAGAGAGGAAGGACCACTGTGAATTTTGTGTTGGGAAATGAATAGAAAAGGAGGGAAGTGATTCAGATGGTTGGGGCAAGGCAAGTGGCCATGTCAGAGTGTGTTCCCAAGCAGAAGAATAGTTGAAAATAAGAGTGGCCAGGGTTTTCAGAGGTCTGCTCTACAGAATACTATTAATAAGTAAATAATATTTGGCAGATTTACAAATTTGTTGTCCTTGCCACAGAGCAATTAACTGAATGGTATCTGTGTTTGGGACTCTGTGAAACTTCAATAATTCATCATGGTATTTCTTGTCCTTTGTGGTACATTGCATAAGGCCTGAGCCTAACATTAAGAGGTATATTAAAATTATTCTACTCTGAATCAGTCTCTACTTGACCAGAGTACCGGGCCTGGATATGGGACAATCCAGTTTAAATTTCCTCTCTGACATTAAACGGGTAGTCTTGGATTTGTAAGACTGTACTGAAGATACAATTGTAAGATATTCGGTATATGCTGAAAGAACGTAATGTAAGCATCTAAGAACTGCACTGCATCAGACAAAAACAATCTGCTCCAGTACTGGCCAACCAGATAGTTATGGGAAGCTCACAATCACAAGATTGCACCCCTCCACTCAGGCTACCCAAAAACCAAGACTGAACAGTTATTAGTAGCTCATATTGGAAGCCATATAGTGACGTTATAACTAGCAGTAATTGATAGCTTTGCCTTCCATGCATTTGTCTTTTAACACCATTAAAATTATTGGCTGTTATTATGTCTTATGGCAGCAAACTTCACAGTCTAACTATGTGCAGTCAAATTTTAGGGTTAGGCTTCTTTTTACTTATCTGGAATACCATTCAGTTTCAGTAACTAGAGAGTCTGAATGGGGAGGAGTCAACCCTACCAAGACCGAGTAGCTGTGGGTTATTGTATTGTATTTTATTTTATTTTGTTAAAGATTTATAAGGCTACCCAACTCAGTGTGACTCCGAGTGGTGTACAACATAAACACACAATAATAACAACAAGAATAACAACAAACAACAAACAACAGTATAAATACAAAAGCTAAAAAGTAAAATATAAAATGGCAACCAAGCACAGAACAAAGCAAACCTCAGAAGGGCGGGACTTCCACTCAACCAGCCTTAAGGGCTTTCCTAAAGGCAAGGAGAATTGAGGCCTGCTGTATATCGGGTGGGGAGGAGATCATTCCAGAGAGCAGGGCAACCACAGAAAAGTCATGCTACCCAGGTCCCATAAGATGACAAAACTTAAAAGAAGGAACCTGCAGCATGGTTTCCTGTAGGAGCATGAGGGGTAGACAGGTGTTCTGGGAGAAGGCAGTCCCTCAGGTAACCTGGTCCTATGCCATGCAGGGTTTAAAGGTAACCACCAGCACCTTGACTTACACCTGGAAGCCTATGAGGAGTCACTGCAGTTCAGGAAGTAGCAATATTATATAGGCATAATGAGATGCACCGATAACTACTCACGCTGCTGCATTCTGGACTAATTGAAATTTTCAGATGGTTTTCAGAGGCAGCCCCAAGTAGAGTGCATTGCAATAGTCCGATTGGGAGGTGACCAAGGCATGAGTAACCACGAGCAGGTCCAGTAATAGGCACAACTGGTGCCCAAGACCATCTGACCCCAGGGGTTCTTCTTTTTTAATCCTGAATGCAACAGGATTTCCCCATTCAGGACTGGTACACAGTCTGGGGTTTTTCCTGGATTTGCAACTCCTGCTCAGAAAGCAGGTGGCAGATATGGCTAGGAAGGCCTTTGTACAGGTCCAACTTGTATACCAGTTATGTCCATTCCTGGACCACAAGACTCTCCAGAACTCACTTATGCTGTGGACACCTTTTGTATGGACTACTGCAATATACTCTACATGAGGCTGCCCTTGAAGACCATTTGGAAGCTTCAGCTGGTCCAGAATGTGGTGCTTCTGCTCTGTGAGTTGCAGTGGTTGCTCCTTAGCTCCCAGGTGCAATTCAAGGTCCTGGTTTCCAGCTATAAAGCCCCTCATGGCATAGAGTCTGGCCATCTGAGGAACTGTCTATCACCAGTAATTTCTATCTATCCTGTTCAATCAGACACAGTTCATTTAATTTATTTATGAGTCTTATATAGTCACCCTTCTTGTGTTACACCAGCAGGAATAAAACCATTTATTTATTTATTTATACATGCACACACATACACACCCCAACATAACCCCCCCCCAACTCCTTGGCACGCTCTAGGTCCCATCAATCAACAGTGTCACCTGATGGGACCCAGGAAGTGGGACTTCTCTGTCACTGCACCTGTCCTATGGAACAGCATTTCCCCATAGATTCATATGGCTCCTACACTGTCTTCATTCAAAAGGTCACTAAAACGTGATTTTGCTCCCAGGCATTGGATTATGATGGGCAGGGGGACCTCTCATAGAATTTTCTCTGCTGAGTTGGATAGTTGCCTCTTCTGGATGTCTTTTATCTCTTTTCTGCTTTGTTTATGGTTTTTGTATTGCTTTTACTCTTGTAAGTTTCCCAGAGCCATCATGAAGTTGGGCAATCTTATAAATCTTGTAAATAAATAAATTGGATTATCCTCAGTTTTATTATTACAAGGGAGAAAAACTTCTCAATCCATTTTTCCATACTACACATAATTATCAACTATTGCCACCACCAGCCCTCCATATATCATTCATTTATTATTCTGGAAACCCCAGTTGATGTAACTGCGCCAAGGATATTCTGTGCTTGTGGTACAGATTTTGCCACAGTTACTGGAGTGTTAATAACACAAATTTTTAGTGTTATTGCACTATGCATTTCCTTGTGTAGCTTTGAACTTTCATCAAAGAGGAGGAAGATT